CCCCCCCCCCCCCCCCCCCCTCCCAAGAAGGAAATAAAAGAAGAAACAAACAAACAAAGAGGTCCATATCACTGACCACCACGAACGCCCGAAATTGGCCTGTCTCCGAATAAAGCTTGCTCGGATTCTGCTCGCTTGAAGTTGTACCATCGCCAAAATACCAGGTGTAGGCCAGGGCATCGCCATCAGCGTCTGAAGCGTCTACGCTGAATTGCACCTCCAGTGGCTCGTGCTTGCTGGTGGGATCAGTCGAGCTGACCGAGTGCACCACGGGGGCGTGATTGCCCAACTCGTAGAACACGTGGCGGATATCATTCAGGGTTGCGTAGTAGAACGAGCCATCTGGAGCTTGCTCAATGTCAATGACGGTTCCTGTATCTGAATTGAAGAGCACCACCTCCTTGACGTTGGTGCTCGTGGGCGGGTCAAAGGTCAAGTATTTCATCCATCCTTGCGCATAGTCGGCAAAAAAATAGGCACCCTGGTATCTAAGAGCAAGCAACAGACCAGCCGCAAGCTCGACAATGAGAGTTGCTCTGCCCCGAACGGCCCTTTTCACGCACGAGGCCCTGACAAAAAAAAAAAAGCAGCGCCCACCCCCAATAAAAAAAAAAAAAAAAAAGGCGCCTCTTCTACTTACTCTTGGGGGAACTGATTAGCCCAGTTAACAAAGCCTCCAATAATGCAAGCCTCGTCGCCATAGTGAGCATAGCTATAAATGGCGCTCTCGTGCAAAGAGCAGTCGCACGACTGGGCAAAGTCTAGCAATATCGACCAGAAAAAGAAGAATAGGAAGAAAGAGATGGCAAAGATGAGCGCGTCGTAGGCCCTTTGTCTGCCGATGCATCTGCAATCCTCCGCCGATCCCTGCTGGCTGTTTCAGGCATCCACCCGCGCACGCCCGCACCAGGGTTGTCGCATGCGCCCTCGCACATCGGCCAGCCATAGTTTTTGTTGGCTTGAATGATGTGCACATCCTCCATCGCCACATTCTGAAGCGCAGCGACGCGCAAAATCCGAATTGAGAACATGATGAGGGCAAGAAGAGAGGTCTGCACGACACATTTTCCCGCTTGCCTGCATGAGACACGGGCAAGACATCCCAGGCGTCAGGCATGGGACTTACCCAATCGTTGCTGCCAACCTCCGATACGAAAAACCGCTCCGTGGGTGAATCGAAAAAGGCACGGTAGCCATTGCGAATGCCGACAGCATACACGCCTATTGGGGTAACCCGCCAGAGTTGCCAAACTCATGAAAAAACCCCGAGCGACCTCATGGCAGAGTACGCTCAAGAAGCCCGTCTTTCTTTGTGATCAAAGGAGCTTCACCAATAGGCGCCACAACATACCGTCATACATGCCCGCTGTTTGTACACCCATGTTGGAGGATGGGAAAGATCCATCCTTATTGATGCGAATGACCTTGCCAGCCGCAGTGTGGGGCTGTTGAACAAGATATTCGTTGTACTTGTCACCCAGAGTAAGGTAGATGTATCCGTCATTATCAAAGACCACCTCGCCGCTGCGACAACGCGCCAAAAGGTGGACAGAATCTTTGTGAGACTGGCAGGTGAAACAGGGAGGCAGTCACGCATGCAACTCCCATATGAAGGGCACCAAGCATGAGAAAACTCGGTAGGGTTACTGACCCGTAATGAAAAGGTGCAGGCCAATCGAGATCGCCGTTGGCATTGTATGCAATGTCAGGATCCTCCCACAAAATCACTGTGCACAGGCAGAAAAGGAGGTAGCCCTGGTGAGCAGTGTTTGCTATACATGGGAATCTTGGCACTAGAGGGCGAGTACGCCATTGGAACAAAAAGTGCCACGCCGACGCATGGCTGTACCTTCTGAGGCAGTTGAGCCCCGGGCATCAAGGCCGCCATTCTCTTCATGGGTAAAGCGGGAGAGGCGGTAGCGCTTGTCCTGGGCGTGTGAATAGAGAATGTAGAGGTAGGGCTGATTTGGAAAGTCGGGGTCTAACGCAAACGAAAGCAGACCCTAAAATTCGCCAACAGTGGGGTGAGGCTGACAATGACGGGTGACTGATGGATCGCGGCGGCACCTGACATTGATCCCACATACACGCTCATAGCCCGAATCCACGTTGGGTATGGACATGTAGGTCGCTCGGGGCATTGGTGTTTGGCTGACGTCGCCAATGACAAGCGTGCCCACACGCTGGCCTGTTCGATTTGTCGCGCACGTGTGCAAATGAGTGCGGGCATAAGCATTGGGGCCAGGCGGTGATGGGGGACACCCATAACGCCGCCGACGCCGACGGCAACGGCAACGACAGCAGCCAATGTACCGAAAATGATGCGATTGCTGTCGAGGAACTTCATGGCGGTGACCTCGTGAACCGAGGCTGTATACTCGTCGACAAAGCCCTGCGAGCAAAAGAGGGTCAACAGCTGGATCCTGCTATCGCACTAGGGGCGGTTGGCAGTGCAGACGTGCCGAGCTGTTGAACAGGGCCTTTACCTGGGGCGGGGCTGCAGTGGCAAGGGCCAGCATTAGAGCTAGCAGACTCCAGCTACACGACACCATGTTGCTGGATGGATGGGACAATGGCCATCAACTGCTCAAGTCCAAATGGCTGGGAAGGGGACTGAGCTGGGAAATCGAACCCTTTGGGACTCGCTCGGCGCGCTCGGGGCGCCGGGACAAGGCAAGCAAGCGTGCTCGTGCACTGAGACGAGAGGGCAAGGACTAGGTGAAAAATGCTCGTCATGCATAGTCGGGCGCGAGTGTGACCGGCTCGGAAATCAAACCTGAGTGGTCGTCGCTGGAGTTGTCACGGTGTTTCAAGGGTGCAGGGGCAAGCCACGAGAGGTGCGGCAGCGGCCCTGTAAATGCTGGAGGGTATGTGGGAGCAGGGTGACTGGGGCAGCACCTGGCCGGGTGCAGGTGTCGGCAAAGCGATGCAACGGCAAGCGTCATGAAGCAAGGCACAGGCCTCGACCTGCCTCTTGGGGCTGTGAATCACGATGATTGTTTCCGAGTGACCAAGCGTGGCTTGAGCGTCTGCACGGCCAGCCATGCTTGCGTAGGTGGGGTGGGTGTATCACAGTCGCAAGAGCTGCATCATTGTGGGCCATTGCAGGTTTTGAAACGGCGAGTGGGCAAACGTGCAAGCCGAGTCGTTGGTGTTGTTGCTTGCACGGATGCAACAAGTGCATGCACGCTTACTCTCAAAGAAGCAGCTGTCGATGTGGCTGTGATGCGCCTGCAGGCACAGCGAGCCGACCATTGCTCTGTAAGCGAAACGGGAGCCCTGGCTACGCCACAGCGCTGATGGGTGCAGTCGCAAGGGCCGTTGTCGGGGCGAATCGTCTCTTTCTTCGACAATCAATAGGATGAGAGCCACAAGAAGCGCCGAGTCTGAGCGGGACAATCAAGAGTCGCTCAGCGGACATGGGCTCACTGCACGACTGCTTTGATAGTCGCCTCTTCCGAAAACCATGAGCTCGGCTGAGCTGTGACCAAGCTGAAACCCAAACCCCCCCCTGCCCTTGCTACCGTGTCGCCCCGACGTCTTGCTCGTTTCTGCACCCACTATCCCAGCACCAAGGGGTCAAAGAATGGTTTGGGGATGATGGTACCAATGAGACGGTAAAATTTAATGTTGATGCTTACTTGTCCTGGAGGTGACACACCCTCGGACGCCAACAGTTTACGGCAAGCAGAGCATGCTTGACGTATCGCTGAGGGATGATAAGATGAGCGTCGTCAGTATCCTTATTATTGTATGGGCTTTGAGTCTGATAGACCCAATGCCACATACATGTCCAAGGCAGCTGCACGATTCGTATCTCTGAACGTGCCGGGTTGCCGTGAGACGGCGACCAAGGGTGTGTTGATAGGACATCGGGAATGGAAATTGTGGCCCTTGACCACTACCGATTCGATTGACACGATCAATCATATCATCACCACCAGAAATGCGGCTGTGAGGTTGGAGCGGCACAGCCTGAGCCTCCATACGTCGACCGAAACCCCCAAAAAGCTGCTACACATGCCTGCCAATTACTTGCCATACGACAGCAAAGCAGTGGTCCAAAAGGCTGGATGCCGATCAAAACCAAACACTGGGAATCAAAGATGCACGAAGTAGCCGCCTAGGTACAGTGGCGTTGCGAACAGTCGAAACGCAGAAAGTCCACTTCAATGTCCACCTAACCGTTGGCATAGGAGGAGCACACGGTGCCAACTTGTGAGCGGTTTTTTTTTTCTTTCCCCTTCTCTTTTCTTTTTCTTTGGTTGTGTGGGCACACTCGCTTCGCCCCTTTTCGTTGAGGCCGAGATTCAGCCCAGCTAGCCAGCACCATTCGAACAGGTGCAGAGGGTATCTTGCAGAACGTACGCTTTGCTTGTTGTGAAACTTGTAGGTCTTGGGCAGCTCGTAGCGGAGCTCGGCAACCACCTCCATCTCTGCCCCAAGCTCTTTCGCTTTGCGCTGCAGAAAGGCCCGTGTTGATGTCTTGTGCAGTGAATAGACGGCACCATCCGCAATCTATGGGGCACAACATGGCACGCAACAATATTGGTGAGGCTTGGCATGTGTCACAGCCTCAACTGGTGCATCCACCGCACCTCGATGGCGCGACGCAAGAAGAGGACATCCAAACCCGCGTTGTGCTTGGTACCAAAGGGAGGGTTCATAACCACCGTGTCGACCTGTCTTGCGCCCGGGCCCAGCGCCAGAGGCCATGGCTCAAAGACGGCGTCCTTGACACTTTGGCTCATATCCTCGCGCCGAGCAGCGCCACTGCCATGTCCCCGACCCCGACCCCGACCCCGACCTCCATGTTTGTCGCGTCCGCCCCGGCTTCGGCCACCACGAGGCGCTGAAGCAGCTGATTCCTCCCCAGCAGGTGCTTCATGAGCCACTGCGTCCGCCAGCACAAAGTCAATGTCGTCCTCCAGCTCAAGCCGGGCCGCATTGTCCAACGCAATGTCCAGAGCTGCTGAGTCGATATCGACGGCCAGCACGTGATCTGCACCCTGCAACGCACATGCGATGCTCAGCATGCCACAACCGCAGCCCAAATCCACAACCGTCTTGCCCAAAAGATCACCAAAAGCGTTCTCCATGGTAAAGGCCATGTGGGCGGCAATGTGTGCTGACGTCGGATACTGCTCCAGCTCAATCCGTGGCTCTGCAAATGGCTCGACCTCCTGAAGTGCAGCCTCAAGCTCCCGTAGCTTCAACATGGTACAGATCTCAAGCGAGCACTCAACACAAATACAACTCCTCCCCCGCCTACTCCAACAGGCGTCTGCCGTCTCCTCCTGCCACCCGTGTCGAACTCAAAAATAATAGCAGAAAGCCAGCGCCTGTGAACATGCGAGGAGACGTGCAGATGCGGAAGAGTAAATCTCGTCACACTTCCGCATATGAGCCCTTTTCCTTTTTTTTTTCTCTCCTCTCTCTCTCTCTCTCTCTGTCTCTCTCCAAACCAATTCAAACCAATTCATCTCTCTCTCTCTCTCTCTCTCTGTCTCTCTCTCTGTCTCTCTCTCTCTCTCTCGCTCTCTCTCACTCGCTCTCTCAACGGCAGCGCGGGCAGGGTTGTTTGGGTCCGGTGCAGAGGCAACGTTGAGCGTGGGTGAGCAGCGTGTCTCATTTGATAGAGTTTTTTGTTTGGCCACGCCAGGTTCGCTGTGGGTATGGCGGGTATCCGCCACCACTCCCGCGAGGGCAATCGTGGAGGTACGTTGGCCCCTGCGCGGTTTTTGCAAGCTTAATGAACGTCCGCCTGAACCCTGGTCCGCATCCGACCTTTGGAATGCGTTTTATTCATGTGCGTGGTCGGTCGCAATAGGGCAAGGCCTGTTCAAGTGGGATGATATCAAGACCGAGCGCTATGCCGATTACGAACAGTATCTGGGCCACTCGGTCATGGCCCCCATCGGCCGCTGGCAACAAAATCGTGACTTGACTTGGTTTAACAAGAACAAGAAAGGGGCCAGTGAACAAGAGATCAGTGCTTCTGAGCGACAGGCCCGTGAGCGCCGCCGCATCGAGCGTGAACTCGTTAAGCAACAGGAACAAGACCTTTTAGCCGAAGCCCTGTACGTCGACTGCTCAACAAAGCACCAACATCACTTTTTACCGTGTCGTGGATGCTTGTCAAACGTTGCTGTGTTTCCTATTGATGGTGCATTTCGCTTGGTTCACACGCTTGCCCTCGATGACCACCGGCAGTGGACTGGGGCCCGCTGTGCGGCGAACACCTGGCACCTCAAGTGTCACCAAACAGGACTTGGCCGAAGTCTTGGGCACGACCAAGAAAGAGGGCGAAAGCGAGAGTGCCTTTTCTTCTGCCGACCGCGTCGCTGGCTTGGGTTACTCGGGGTATGTTTGGCGACCTCTTGTTTTTTGTTTTTTGTTTTTTGGTTTTTTTTTTGGTTTTTTTGGTTTTTAACCCACATCTCCTGCACACCGATGTCTCCCACACGCTCCACCTTCATCACTTTTTCGAAGCTCTCTCACTTCTTGCTGGTATCGTTGTGCCACTTGTGCACTGCAGTGAGGCACTGTTGTCAGCGAGTGATAAGCGTGAACGCGCTTTAGGCATGCGCAGTTTTGAGGTGCGTGGCTTATGCTTGTGAATTTTGCTCGCGCTCGCTTGACTCAATGCCCCAATTCGCTTGTACCCACCTGGACACTTGCAGGGCCCACGCGGAGCCTCATTGGAGGATCGTGGAGCACGCGGTGGCAGTCGAGGCCCAGCTCCAGGTGAACCTGTTTCCAACGCCAATCTTGTAAGTGACGCGCGCATGTTTCGGCAACTTGATGGGAATGCCTTGACCACCTGTTCAGCCGGGAGTGGGCGCGCCGGATTCACACTCTTATCCCATTGCTTGTCCAGGAGCCCATTGGTCAGCGTGACTTTGGTCGACCCGAGTCACAAGATGCACATCGCCACAGCAAAAAACACAAGAAGGAGAAGAAGCACAAAAAGGAGAAGAAAAAGCACAAGGATCACCGTCGAGGTGCGCTGTACGCACGCTGCATCGTAACACGCATTTCTCTCCTCACACATGTTCCCCTGGATTGTAGATGCGTCTCCAAGTGCTTCACGCCACCGGGTGCATGACTACGACCGTGATGAACGACGTGATGAACGACGTGCTGAACGACGTGATGGACGACGTGCTGAACGACGTGATGATCGTCACAATGAGAGTAGCTCAGAACGGAAAAGCTATGGTCGCGATTCGGAAAGGAGAAGCTATGGCCGTGATTCGAACCGCAATGGGGGTCGTGATGCTGATCGCGACCAAAGCCGAGGTCGCTCCCGAGAAGCTACCGATAGTGGGCATGAACATCATCATCGCCGCCGCCATGACAGTCGCAGCCCAAGCCCCGCTCCGCGGACCGCAGCATCCCCGCCCCGCCGCTCGAAAACACGCCACGATAGTCGCAGCCCCAGTCCCAAGCCACGATCATGAATCAGGAGTGGGTCTTGTTATTTCCACTTGCTCTGACTCTGGGGCATGACACCATTACCCAGCTCGCTCACAAGATACACTTCACAGTTTGAATTGAAAATGACCAACGCATCAGCCTGGCTGTCTGCCTGAACAAAGGAAAGAAAGAGGCTGCATCACGCGCAAGAAACTCTTTGCAAACTCTACATCATGCCTACGACGTTGAGCATTTGATTGAACTTGTCCGGATCTATCAAGTCCTCGAAAAATTCCTACACCAGAAACCAGCCCAAAGCCCAAATGTGTGAGCTGGCTGGTTTTGTTGCTGAGGCTGCGATAAATGGACATGGAACAAGAATACCTTGCGCATCACGAAGAAAACGGAGCCAATGAGAATGGCTGTTGAGCCACTCGATGACGGCGGGCCGATGCGGCTCACCTACAAACAGCCATGGCACCCACACCAGAGTACATCATTTGAGGTGAGCTGGAGTTTGAGCGATGACTGGAGGAGGCAAGAGGTGCGGTCAGCTCATGGCCCCAAGTTTGGTCCTAAGGCTGGAGGCAACACATACCGAAAGACTGGCAGCCACGTCCTCCAGAGAGCCGGCGAGTGTTTTGCAGGACTTCATGAGATATCTCAGGTCATAGAGGACTGGGAAGAAGATGGCGAGCAACTCATAGAAATCTTGCTCCCGGCGCGGCAAAAGATCGCCCAGCAAGATCTTCATCAAAAAGGCATAGTCGTCTCCACTGTGCACAGCCCCAAGGTCAAAAAATGCCCGACACGGTGAGGCCTCACAGAAAAAACAAGCAACATCTTTTGGCAGCCACCGACAGGGCGATGCGCTCGGCCCAGATTGTGTTTGTCTTTCCTGACTAAAGCCTTTTGTTGTTGGGTTTTTCGACGCTTCAGGCAAAAGCAGAACAAGGCGTAGCTCTGACACATACATGGAAGATGACAGCCAGGTCGTGTCTGGGTTCATTACCAAGCCACTGGTGGTCAAGACCTCGGCAAAGTGGTTGAAGGCGATGCCATCCTATCGTCAGCAGCCGTGGGTCGAGGTGAATAAACTGTGACTCGAGTCAGAATGGTATACATGGCGCCGCGAGGCTTGGTTGGAAATGGCAGGGCGGTTGCCTTCGCACCGTCTCGATCCGACTCAGGAGGGACATGGGCCGCAGTGGGTAGTTGGGCAGTGAGAAATCAGTTTTGGTACTGTGATGAAAGTTGAAGATCCAACAGCAGGTGCCCGGAGGACGATTGCCGTTGTGATCAAAAAAAGCCAAGCTGATGGTGAGCGGCTCCAACCTGATCATACATCAAAGCCGCGGCGTAAAAAAAAAATCAAGAGGGTCAGCAAATTGAATGCACGAGCAGCGGCAGTGCTGGCAGGTGGGGAGGAAGGCTTGCAACGGGAACAGGGCGAGGGGCTCAAAGCCAAAAGCAAACTTGCATGTTGATGTTCGCCACCAAAGTTTGGAAGATGTGATCAGCCGCATTCTTAAAGGTTCCCAGGGGCTTGGCAATCACACCGGGGTATTCCACGCTCTGTGCTCCGCAAATGCCGAGTTCAAGGTGAGCCAGGCTTGCGAGCGCGACCGACAGGCGTGCGTGCAGCAAAAGTACAGAAGGGCAAGGCGCACCACAGCAATGTAGGGATAGCTGGAAACAAGGGATTGGAGAGTGCGGATTTCATCCTCGAGGTTATTTTGCCACACATCCTTCACGGAAGATTCCCGGACATTGTGCTGGTGGTGATCGGAAGGGCAAAAGCGCCGTGTCCAAGGTGAGCAGTGGGCAAGGACAGACTCTATGCCTTGGGGGATCGAGTAGGGTAGGCTTACTCGGCGTCGGGCCATAATGCTGTGCCCAAACTGATCGGTGTCAACGAGAGTGCCGTGGCAGCGCGGTGCCCAGGCTTGAGCGCGAGTCACAAACGGCGGCTCCAAGCACTGCCAGGGGCGGTGAGGAGCTTAACAGGTCCCTAGCGTCAAAAATGTCGAACCAGCCACCAGCTGCAAGAGGACGCTGGTCCTACAGCAGCGGCCAAGCCTTGGACAAGGCTAGCAGACAAGCACAAAGAAAATTTGAATACCAATACCAATTCCTTTATACGCGACGTCAAGGTCTGGTCTGTTCAACCGCTCCGACCCGAGCGCTGCCGTTTGCCAAAACTGCAGTGCTGAGCACAAGAAGAAAAAAAAAAACAGCAACGCCTTTGTTCTACTAGCAGCCGACAGCAAAACACAACAGTGATAAACAACAGGTCAACCCCGGCCTTACATCTGGTAACCCAGTCCTCGAAACCAGTGAGTGGGTGACGACACGGAGAGAGAGAGAGAGAGAGATGAATTTGTTTCGGTGTGACACAAAGGAAAAGCACAACTACAGTACCACATGTGAGAGAAGAAGAATGAAGTCAAAAGAACACACACACACACACACACACAAAGAGGAGCTGTTCTCACTGTTGTTGTTGTTGTTGTTGATGTCAGTGGTTTTTTTTTCGTGCTTTTGTGTGTGTGTGTATCTGCTTTCAAGCTCTTCTGCCTGGAGCTTGAGCTGAGGGCGGTGTGGTGTCAACCAGGTTGTGAGGGGGTGCGAATACCTGCTGATCACGACTGGCCCTCAGGACTGCTGACGGCGTATCTTTTCCTCGTTCTTTTTGGCTCTCCTCGTATCATACGGAAGGATGAGCGAGGTGACGCGGCGACCTGCGCCGAGTCAGGGCGATGAGAGGTCGAAACCGCCCGCACCGTCGGTCGAGGCTGCTGTGGAGCCCCGGCCCATGTCCTCTCCGTTCCTGTGCATGATTCAAGGCATCCTTCATTCTCTCAACTTTGCCATCGTCCTGCGCGTCCTGATTGGGTGAGACTTGCACACCGGCTTGACTTGTCCATGCGCTCTTGCAATGTTCTCCCATGCACTCGGTCGGTCACTTGGGATTTCCCGACTGTGCCTCCTTTCAAACCGTCCACCAGGAGCCCAGCCTGCCGTGCCAATGTCTGGAACTGCATCTTGTTAAATGGTTGTCTCTTCCTGGTACGTTCTTGGTTTCCCCGAACAGCTCCAAGACATTGTACCCGAAAACCCGAAAACGTTGCGCTGTGTCCCGCCCTGTTTCTGTTCCTGTTCCTGTGCCCGTCTAACCCTTGTCTTCCGTTTGCCTCCTCTGATTGGATTCGCTCAACCCTTCAATAGGGCTCTCTGGGTCTCTACCATTTCTGTACCTGGCCACTGATTCAATACATTCTTTATCCAGTACCTTCAGATGACTTGGATGCGAGCGAGGAACAGCCCATCCCCCCATGGTGTGTGCTCCTACCGTGCCGCGCGGGGTCCCAGCCCTTTGACTCATTCCAACCTTGATGCGGTTTGTATATGGATCGAGCAGGCCAGCTGCCGAGTTTTTCCTCTTTGGCATGTTTCAAATTTTATGGGTAGTGCCCATGTTCATCTTGACCAAAGTGCTCAACGCCATTTATTGCCAGGTACGCCAACGTTACGATAGCTTGAAGAACAAGGTCCTGATCGACCTTTACGCCAGGTTCGAAGCCCAGCGCAAGCCTCACAGAGACCCCTTTTGGGCCTCTAACCGCTTGCCCCCATCAAACTGCAGTTGGTCGCGCGCGAAGCATTTGTTTTTCTGCGTGGTCAGGAAAATACTGCGTACCAACATGTCAAGGACCGCGAGTACGCACTTCATACAGTGACCCCCCGCGCCCCTTTCTTTCGCCTTTCTTGTTTGTTTGTTTGTTTTTTCCCTTCCTGACACGCTCGCTGATCCCCTCACATCCAAAACACCCGCCCGCTTGTGCCTCACGCTCTATTCCTTTACCCAAAATGGTGAAAAACAATACCTTGACCCGATTTGATAGCGTGCTCAATTGGATGGGCATGGTGCTGGCTGATCTGACGTTTAGCACAACCATGCAACTGCTTATGCTGCTTCAAGTATGATGCCGTTGCCTACCTGCATAAGTCTGTCACTGACTGGCCTCATTCTTCGTTGCTCATGCCGGCTGCCTCGGCTCGGTTGGCCTGGACAGGCCTCAGCCATGGCCTTTATTCCAACCATAGGACCCGTTCTATGTTTTATATACACGTGTTGGATCACGAGTCTGTATTGCTTTGAGTACTCCTGGATCAGCGCCGGCTGGTCGCTGCAGAAGCGTGTCACCTACTTTGAAGAGCACTGGGCTTACTTTCTCGGCTTTGGGCTGGCCTACACGACCGCGACCTATTTCCTAAGCTTTCTCGTGTCCACAGGCACCTTCGCTTTGCTGTTTCCCTTCCTCCTCATCATTGCCACCAGTGCAGAGCCGACCGCCCACGACGACACAACCACCATTGCCATCCTACTTCCAGGCCGGATCGCCATTTGCTGGCCTACGCGACCCCTGACCCACCGAGTCTTGCTGCGCCTCATTCCCTCCAAACGGATCAAGCAACAAATGGCCCACATTTAAGCATCCCACATTCAGTCCGATCATGCCCACCCCCCCTCACAACCAATTTTCAAGCCATCCTTGGCAACTAATCGACTCTTAACAGGTTCATGAGACAAGACGCATCCCGATTGCTATTCATCGCATGAGCCATGACTGACTGGACAAAAATCATCCCAGCCCGAAAATTCGATTCAAAATTAGCCACATTCATTGCCTGGCGGAGCGAAGGAGGATGGCTTTGATTGACACAAGTTTCAAGGCACGGCGAGACGAGGCGAGACAAAGCTAAGCAAATCAAGCTGATGCAGACCAAGACCGGCCCGAGAGAGAGGACGGAACAAGGAGCGAAACAAAATCACCCGGCGGATAAAGCATCAATCTGAGGTGCGCAAAATGCACACTTGAAGAGCTGCCATTCTTGTCCGGTTGCGTCGACACAGACGCCTCAAGCATTGACTCGCAAAATTGCTTAGTTGGAGCCGCAAGTTGGGTTGCATCGGTAAGGGAGCTTGTCATTGTAGGTGCATGGCGTGTAGGTGTGGGCGCTGGCCGGGTCGGTGACCGGAGCGTTCCACCTGGGAAACAGGGAACAGTCAAAGTGAGCAAGAGGATCGACAGCGCCGGATGAGACAGTATCATTCCCTCCGGCAAGCCCTCACCAGCTAGAGACGGCCTGCTCCATGGTAACATTGTTGATCTATTGTCAAAGTCCACCATATGAGGTGAGCCAATGCCCTGTATTTGCTCGGCACGAGGAGAAGTACGCACAGCAAACTGGGTATAATACGAGTTGCTGGAGGCAGCGCAGTGCGTGTGGCAGCTGTACACAAAGCCACCATTGCCTGGGATTGCAGAAGAACCATCAATCACATCACCACGGTGAGAACAAGAGCGCTGCGAGGCGCCTGGGAACCAGGTGGTGGGGGATACAAGCATGACGCCGTACCAGCCGCTTGGGAAGTGGGCACATCAAAGGCCTTGACAAAGTCGTTCTCGTACTGTGTGCATTTAGACCGAATAAGAAAAAAAAATAGAAGCAGGGTGGCACAGGACAAACCCGTAAAGGATGGGCATCACGAGACGCACGGACCACATGGCGACCACAAAAAGATTACCTGAATCATGGCAGGGATCTGGTCCGTGGTGCAATCTTCAGGATTGCCCGAGCACGAGCCCCAACCAGGGGCCGCAGCACAGGCACCGTTTTGCGTGCTGTTGGCAGCCACGTACTCCGAGGTATAGATGCAACCCGTTTGCCACGAGTCGAGGGCTGAAATGCGGCCCAAAACACGCTCGTTATGACATTACATAGGCACCGAAAGATAGGCTCATGCAGTGCGTTCATACCCGAATTAAGCACAAAGATGGGAGCCTTGATATACTTGTAGGTCTCCGGGCCAAAGATGCATTGCCACTTGTCCTCATCAGACTTGCTGTAAAAATTTATCAGAGACGTCAGGCGGTCTGAACATTGTAAAAGACTTGGACCGCGCAAACACGTACTCGGCAATACAGTCCGAGTTGACGCCATTGGTTGCGTTGGACATGGAGAAGACGTATTTCATCTCGTCGGGGTAGACGGGCTTGTCTGAGACAGAAGGCAAATAACCCGTGAGAGGCCACTCCTTGAACGCTTGGGACAAAGGGATTCCACATGAGAAGACAAGACGTACTCTCAGTGGTGTTGTGCATGAGGAAAAAGCCCGACACAGAGGCGGCCTTGAATCGCTGCAGATTGGGCAGCTTCTTTTGCAAATATTCGTGCACATAGTCTGTGTGGGTGTAGCATTTGCATTCGGGCGTGCACAATCAATGATGGGTGAGGACGGCAAGCGGGAAACATTTGAGACAATCGTGGCAGCAGCTCCAAGGCTGAAGTCGGATTCCAGCCGTAGGATCCAGCGCAGATCGATAAAGTTCGCACCAGTATGAAGATAAGTGGCCAAACCACCAGCTGAGCAACCACTGAGGAGGACATCGGTGGCGTTGACCAGGCCCATGTCCATAAGGGTTCTAGTGAAGATGGGCGCAGACAATGGCAGACACACAAGGTCATGGTCACATGACTCAGGTACTGGTACAGGACCAATCAAGGGAGAAGAAGAGAGCAAGGACCGAAGACACGTCGACACTCAAGACTGACTCGAGAGTAGCATCCAAGATGCGGTGACCACGAGACCAAAGCTATCAGGCAAATTCAAGCCGTGAGAATGGCTCGCAAGGGCGGGACTCAAATGCCGTCAAGTACAAAGAGAAGGCAAGAACAGAAACACCATCATGACACCACGGCTGACCTTGGTACCGTTGACAATAATGGGATCCGTGCGATCACCACTGAACGAAGCGCCGTCACAGCTGTTGAAACATGGTTGCCAAAATCGTGAGAGAAGGAAAAAAAGGGTTGAAGAGCAATTGAGGCTAGCCCAGACGCGACGTACTAGGAGAGCTGGACGCGGTTGTAGTTGCAAAACTGGGGGTTGACGCTGCAATCGTCACTCATAATGCCACCGCCGCCGGCGGTCGGGCCCAAGCTACAAGCGAGTGGTGGTGCAAGATTGGCGGTTGATTGTTGGCCACAGACAATCGTCAAGGATGTAATGTCGCACAGGCAAACGGCAACTCAAATCTTATCCAAGCGAGTGAGCAACGTACTGAGTTGAGCTACCAAGGTTACCCTTGGAGCGACCGAGGCAATCCCACTACGAGCACGCACTTGGTGTGAGGCGGGCGGGGACAAGGTGCCCGGGCAACGGATATAAGACGAGATGACGGTATTCACCTCCTGATAGCACCAGCCACCGCCCTGGAAGAAGATGATCCACTTGTTGGTGTCGTCGCTGCTGGCAGCGGGAGAATGATAAAAGGCTGCAAGGCAAAACGCGAATCACTGAGCGGTTGTCGGGTGCAAAATTTCGACACGAAATAAAAATGGCAGCCGCAGTAGACAAACGGCCCTCACACCAAAACACTAAAAGCAGAAAGAGTCAACAAAACCAACGAATGCAGCACGACGCCAAGAGCCGGATCCCGATATGGGCGCACAAATCGAGGCGGCAACGATGGGGCTTTGGGCGAACAGTGAATCGCGCTAGTCAAATCAGTGTACATGCGATCGCGATCCGATCGATCGCTCTAAGACTCGTACGCACCGCCAGGGGAGCCGTCGAGGCACAAGGCGCCCTCATCAGCTTTGTCCGTCATGACATGCAAGTTCATATCAATAGCGGAAACACAGGCCGAGGCGGCCAGCGCCGCCATCAGGCAAGCCACGGTCGTTGCACGCATGGTGACGGTCAGTCGTCGCAATCTCAAAATGCCAAAACACACACATAAATGAAACATCAACAACAGTGAAAAGACGAAACCCCCTTTACAAACTACAACGAACAAACCAAACGCCTCACGTGTAAACTTAGTGTGTGTGTGTGTGTGTGTCTGTGTGTGTGTGTGTGTGTGTGTGTGTGTGTCTGTGTCTGTCTGTCTGTCTGTCTGTCTGTCTGTACATCCATGTATACATGTACATGTATCTGTCTGTCTCTCTGTCTCTCTGTCTCTCTGTCTCTCTCTTGTCTCTCTCTGTCTCTCTGTCTCTCTGTCTGTGTCTGTGTCTGTGTCTGTGAAACAAGATAGGAAGATAGCATCGAGATAGAAACAAGGCCGCTTGGGAATGAAACGAAAACTTCTCAACAATTAGGAACATGCCCTGCTACTCAAATGTCAAGGCTTCAACTTTTGCCCGCTGATAAAGGTGGCAACCCAAGCATATGGCGGTGAATTAAGGAAAGATAATAATCACATCTGAATGTATCATGAACCTTGCCATCAATTTCGTTGCCAGGCGGCCTGACAAGTCAGGACCCTAGCTCGAGCTGGTGCGGAGGTCAATCACCTGAACCAAATCGGGCATCTGACGCTGTATTGTGTGGCCGCTATCCACAAAGAGGCCTTGTGCCGAATGCGGGTGGTGGCCTATTCGCATACCCACGAAGCACATTCAAAAGTCAGCACGTGGTGAGCCGGCACCTGCTGGTATTATGGCGGAATCACGCACCACGTTGTTGACATTCCAAGACCTCTGTCACGCCCTGTGCAGTCAGACGGAAGAGGCGAATGTCGTTGTATTTGATAGAACACACGACTGCCAAAGCCTCGGGTAGCATCAGCTGATATGACAGCGTGGTGTGCAGGTCCTAGCGTCATCCAAGCCCAGCAGAGGGTGAGCACAAGCAGGCATTCTGGTGCCAGTTTGGATGCTCAACCTTTGACTCCACTCACCACGCTGGACAGAAAGGCCGTCTGTGAGGGATGCGTGTGTATCCATCCTAGCGTCAACAGCTCGTGTTCATCCTGCATGCACGCATCTTTCGAGTGAGGCCTAGGACGTGGCTGCTCAGATGGGTGCGTCCTTTGAGAGCCGCAAGCGGTAACAACTGCAGGGATGCGACGGGCCTTACCTGATACCCAAAGAGGGCTTCGTCGCCTGCCTCTGTCGGCTGGCATCCATTGGCATCCCCACTCTGGGCTGGTATCAAAACGTGTGAGAGCAGAAAGCTTCCGTCTGCTTGTAAGCGGCCAGCAAGGATGCCACAAGTCTCCTGATCGCGTTCACTGTTACCGCGAGCGTGCGTGAGAAACTGGTCGAAAAGAATGGGATCGTAAGCTATGCGTGCAAGCTTGGGATCATCCTCCACGACGCGCGGCACAACGGGCCCCGTGCTATTGCCGTGTGGACAGCCTAAAACGCTTGCCTGCGTGCCTGTCTGGACGAGGCCTGGGCGCGCATCGCGAGGAGACAAACTCGCGGGAGTCATGGCCGAAGAAGGCAGCGGGAAGTTGGTAGGGGCGCTCATGTTGTAATAACCCAATGCAGGCGTGGAAGATGATGGGCCATAAGATGATGGGCCATAAGATGATGGGCCATAAGAAGCGTAAGAAGGCATGTGTGTTGATGACCTTGGCCAGTAGCATTGTGGTGAGTGATCCGGGGCCATGTGCATTGTGGCAGCCGTTGCTGGGTACACGGGATACGCGGCTGTGTTGTTTGTTGCTGTCGAAGCCTGATAAGGAGAATCGACTGACGAGGGAATCTGGTGCTGATGCGTCAAGTGGCCGTCAATCGCGGGGCTGGCTTCCTCGCCTTCACGCAGCCTTTGCAGGGCTTGTTCCTGCATGATCTGCCGCTGTGTGGGCTGGCGGATAGCGTCGTGGTACTGCTCCAAAGGGTTGGATTTCAGCCTCAGATCGCCCATACTCGCGTACAATTCATCCAACGTCCTTTTGGGCACCGCTGAGGCTGGGAAAGAAGTGGGAGCGGGCGCTGGGGTCTCACTGCTGGTGGGTGGTATGCGCGTGCTGAGAAGATCGCCAGCGTGATTCCCACCGTGACCGACGTGCGTGGTTTGAGTTGGAGGGCTCGATGCTCGCAACGGTTCTTCAATGTTGGAGAATTTGCTACTGCTCGATCTTTCGGGTTGAAGTGCTAATAAGCGCTGCTGCAACGACAAGTCATTCTCAGCTGTCGCCGTGGGTACACTTGCGGGTGGGGTCTTGGCTATTGAATCGGTGTTGCCTTTGACGGCGGCCAAAGGATCGCCGGGCCCGAGGGGCAGTGGTGGGGCTATGGGGAAGACGCGACTTGGCTGCAATTTGCCGTGGCTGGCCGCCCGCGCCGCGGTTTGCTGCATCGCCTGAAACTCGCGTTCGTAGCGAGAGAGAAGATCAGTCCGCATCGCCTCGGCTTTGGCCAAAACCTCTTGCAGCTAGCACAAACCGGACAAATTAGTGGTACATGTCAGTCACTCGCAACATGACTCGTGGCAAGCCAAGGCGAAGAACATGGTGCACTCAAGCAATTGTTCCAACCTGAGGCACTAGGCGCTGGTATTGCTCGACTTCCTCGGGCTTGACAGCTTTCACCTTGGCGTTGGCGCCAACGAAGAACGCAGCCATAAGCAGCCCCTTGTACGAGCGCTCCACCTATGCCACCAGCAATGATTGGAATGATCGGGGATGGGACAGGACCCAAGCCACTTGAGCACCTACGGGCCTCACCATATATGTTGGACTGTGCACAGACAGGGTGTCATTGCTCAGGGATTTGCGAAGCAGATCATGACTGAGGCGCAAAATACTTGGCCAAGTCTTGTAAACGTTATAGAAAGCCAACTCTGTGCGCACACGTATGCCAGACGAGAAGCTCGGGTAAGGTGTGCGAGAGACACCGTCGGTATCAGGTCATAATGGGCCCCGTGGCTCCAAAGGAGCAACATACCGCGATCAACGTCAATGCGGAGCTGTCGCAGCCGCATCTTGGCGTGCTTTAGACCATGATCGGTCATGCTGGCAGTTGTGTGAGCCAGCCCGGCTCACCATCGAGCTGCGCAGCTGCTTGTGTTGATGATCAACGTTCACTGCTGCTCCCAGGATTCAAGTCTCCGCCAACCAGAATATACTCCACTCCTTGTATCACCCAATGAGATGCAATGTCGCGGCGGCCACGACCCCGCCCGACCACCTAGATGCGCTCGCTGCGCCGCCGGATAATTAAAAAAAAATGAAAAAAATACACAAAAAGAGAAAACAAGAATTATTTAAACCAACACACGTAACATGTGGAAAACTACAAAGGTGTTGCGCATCAGATTCGATTTTCGAACAAATGTAAGACGTTTAAATTTTGTGATGTTGTCAAAGGAAGAGAGAGTGTGTTTCATTGAGTTTTGAGTTTTGAATTTTGAGCTTTGAGTTTTGAATTTTGAGTTTTGAATTTTGAGTTTTGTTACCAACACTCGAAGTGGCGGCGCATCAGACGAGAGGCAGCGGGTCATGACGTGAGCTAGTTGTGCGCCCGCTTCGTTTGTCCGAGCTTCGGATGCAGAGGAATCTTCGAAGGATAGCTTTTAGCAGCTGGTGGGCGTGGCACTTCGCACAACACCATGCCGAGCAAAGTCCCCTTTCGTATCGTTTACTGCTCGGGTATGAACGGGCCGTTGCATACTGAACTGCCGTGTGCTTGGACGTCAAGATCTTGACCCTTTTACGCGTTCGTACGCCTGCTCGTTGATTTGCTTTGTGCATGCTGGCAGGAGCTGAAGATGGCCACTCGGCAGTGGAGCTCGAGGTGCGTGAACCCCGGCTCGGCGTGGCTGCACTCGACACATGCCAGACTAGACCTCGCGACCTCCTGCGCTCCATCCATACCCCACCCTTTCCCCGCCCTTGCCCGCCCTTGCCCGCCCTTGCCCCGTCCGCCCTTGGATGCACCTCACTCTCGGCCGTACGCGTGCAGACCCAGTCACCAGGCACACGTGGTTGGCATTCAGCCAAGCTCTGCCAATGGCCCCAGGTCATCGTGCTCCAGTTCCCCGCCCCCACACGCGTGCGCAAAGTCCAGCTACTCTCGCACCAATACCTCATCGGTATGGTTGCCGTATCGATGCCAATCAAGGCAGCAGGCGGGCTGCAAGTCGTCACATCCATCACCTCGTCCACTGACTCCAGCCTACTGCTTTGGACCCTCACCTTCCCTCCGCCCTCCCTGCCCACCACCGTTCACAGCAAGTCGGGTCGAGCTATTTATTGGCGTAGAAGAAGCAGGCAAGCCCTCCGTGTCAAACACAACCAGCCCAACTGCAGCCTTTGACCACTGCGTCTTTCGCAAGCTCGGTACGTTGTGCGCATGAACATCTGCGTTCGAGACGGACCGCATCTAGGGCATTGACGAGTTGCGATGCCGCTATCTTCATAGGCCACGTGTCCTTGTCTTCAAATGTGAACAATGATTTTAAGAGTCGCGAGCTCAAATCTGTTCATGTGGATGCGGTCGGCACTTTTTTGAAATTGGCTCTTCACAAAAATCATGTCAATCGCCACAACTTATTCAATCAGGTGGGTGCTGGTTGGCCTCACGCATCAACTGCTTCGACGACTCTACAGCCGACGACCTCCTCATCAAGTACCATGGCATAGGTGGGACTAGTGGCGCTCAATTTTATTGGCGACTACACGGACCCGCTGCAAGCCGCCAACATGATATCTGGGACCTCAACCCGTGATGCCAGTCTTTCAACTGTATGTCACGGTGGAGCAAAACACTTTTGTGCGCTGCTCGTTTGTGCCTCCAGCCGTGTCGTGTGACAATTCTCGTGTGGAGGGTACCACATTTCTGAAGCCGTTTGCATGCATCTTGCTGGCGTAGCTGGCTGCTCAGATGCAGCCTCCTACCCCACCAAGAAGTGCCGTGGCTCGCGACGCACAGGCGCGAGACTTTTTGACTGGCGGGCGCATTGCAGACCCAGTGCGTGCCGTGATCGCCCGCGATATGTATCCCCTCATGCCATTTGACACAACTCAGTTTGTTCTGACCCTCTTGACCGGTGCGCCATGCAGTCTATTGCCCGGCTTCTTGAACAGGTGGCACCGGTCCATGCCGGGTCAGACCCTGCCGCTGCTGTGCTGGGCGTCATCAACCGACCAAACCATGTGGACAAGGCTGACGACTTGGCCTACACCGCAAACATGGCGAGTGCCTCGTGTTTTCCCGCACGGTTGTTGAGACAAGTGCAGTTGAGCCTGCGCCCCTGTGGCAGGGAAGCACGGGGGTAGGCGTCTGTCACGTTGAGGCCAATCTCACATCATCCTTCTTTTGGATGCAACCACCACCCATGTTTATTGGGGTATATCCAGGACCCTCTCATGGCTGAGAGGATTGCGCGACTCAAACGAGAAAAGGAGCAGTGCATTGCACGGTAGGCAGCTTGCGACCATTCCGACCCAGCCCAGCTGTGGCCACAAAGCCAGTACGCCCGTAGGGCACCTGGCTAAATTTGCCCCCTGTTGATGCCACAGAGAGGATTATCCTCGCGCAGGCCGCATCAAGTCAGTGCTGGGCGGACTGAATGAGTTAGGATTGGAGTTGGGTATTTTACAGCGCGACAAAATAGCAGCCGTGCAACGCGAAGACTTTGAGGTAGCGTTGTGTCACCTGCTGCACAATGCCGCCCGATCGCTGATCGCCTTGTGACGTCACTGTTGCTGAACATGTTTGCCGTTGTCCCTAGCGGGCCGAACGCATCAAGCGCCAAGTGGATCAATTGCAGGCTCAGGTGTGCATTGAGTGCAACCACGCATCGACGAATGCAACATCTGTCTGTCTGTCTGTCTGTCTGTTGTCTGTCTGTCTGTCTGTCTGTCTGTCTGTCTGTCTGTCTGTCTGTCTGTCTGTCTGTCTGTCTGTCTGTCTGTCTGTCTGTCTGTCTGTCTGTCTGTCTGTCTGTCTCTCTGTCTGTCTGTCTGTCTGTCTGTCTGTCTGTCTGTCTCTCTGTCTGTCTGTCTCTCTGTCTCTCTGTCTCTCTGTCTCTCTGTCTCTCTGTCTGTCTGTCTGTCTGTCTGTCTGTCTCTCTGTCTGCCTCTCTGTCTCTCTGTCTCTCTGTCTCTCTGTCTGTCTGTCTGTCTGTCTGTCTCTCTGTCTCTCTGTCTCTCTGTCTCTCTGTCTGTCTGTCTCTCTGTCTCTCTGTCTGTCTGTCTGTCTGTCTGTCTGTCTGTCTGTCTGTCTGTCTGTCTGTCTGTCTGTCTGTCTGTCTGTCTGTCTGTCTGTCTGTCTGTCTGTC